ACATTCTTCGTGTTACACTCTTACATATAAATTCATTTGTTTGGTCTTTGTTATCTACCTCTATACATGGTGTGTTCATTAGCTTTTTGTCACTCATCCAAATCGAAATTTTAATCTTCAGTTCTCGCCGTATCAACTTCATTCGCTCTCCCTACCTCATTACTCGCGTACACACCTCATTTTCTGGGTTCGCATCACCTGCTTTCTCTCGGCTACTCTCTTCATGTCTCTTTGCACCACTTTCCGTTTTATCAATAAAGAATCCCGTGCTTTCTTCAGTTGTGCAGACTTTTAAATCATAATCAAAAATCCTTATAACTTCGATGAATAAATTACTCTGTTGGCATGCGGTTCTTGCGGTTATCATTTCCGAAAACTTTTAGCGAATGCGTGAATTGTTTCTTACACGATGTCTTTATTTATTTCAACTGAGATATCTGATTAGTATGTACAGTTCTAACTTTTGTTCGATCCTTCAAGTATTTGACTTTGCGTTGCTTTAGTCATTTGGACTTATAAAGACAAAACCCCTTATTTTATTTTATTTTGAAATAAGTTTCCATTTTGGGAATAATGTCTTCTTCGATGGCCGACAACCGCATACGAAAACCCCTCGTTATAATCGATCAAATTTTATGAAGACAGATTTGCGAAACATTCCTTCTGGTTGTTTTTTAGAGGCAACAGGAATGCAGCTATTCTTTGCACTATAAAATCATTAATGTAGTCTCTATAAAAAAGTGAAATAGAAATTAAAGGGTATGCCTAGAGCTCTGAGAGGATTTACCTTTAAATATAACATACTAAAATTTCAAAGCTTTTGACTGACAACCTTTTAAAATGTAACTCCTCAGCTTAACCAGCTCCATCAGTTTATTTTTTAACGCGTTTTTCTCAAAACTAAATTGTTAATTCTGTTTTCTCTCGGTCGGACAAAAATGCGAAGTAAATGGATCTGGTAGTGAACGAGGGGAACACGAAATATTTCCTCCCATCAATCAGATAGTCGCCCACTTGCGTCATAATTTTGTCTATCTTGGAACCAGCTTAATACCAACAAAAACGTCAGCCTCGAAATCTAACTCAGAATAACTCTTGGCAACAAGTGCTACTTCGAACTAAGTGGACGTTGACAACATCTGATGGGTCGGTGTTACGAGTTTTCGAGAGAAATGTTCTGCGGAAGATTTATGGTCATTTCGCATTGGCAATGGGGAAAACCGTACTCGATGGAACGATGAGCTGCACGAGATATAAGATGACACTGACATAGTTCACCGAATTAAGAGAGAGCGGCTGCGCTGGTCAGGTTACGTCATTGATGAAATTTTGGAAGGAAACACTCCACCTCTGAGACTATTCGACGTAGTACCCTCCTGGCGAAGCAGAGGAAGATGAAGATCTCCCTTTCGTTGGAGAGATCAGTTGGAGAAGGACCTGGCTATACTTGGAATTTCCAATTGGGTAAAAAGAAAAACGACTGGCGCGCTATTGTAAACTTGGCTATAACCACGTAAACGGTGTCTGCGTCAATAAAGAAAGGGAGAATTGTTTAAATTTGATGGCGTGATTACACGAAGTCAAAAAGACAAATGATCTGATCACTATAAAATCGTTTCTGTATGTTTTGTGTATAGTTCTCAATACAAAGACGTACTATGTCAAACACGATGATGATAAAATGCTACTTAAAAAAAAAAAAAACAGTGCCAACTTGTAAATTTTTTTCCCGACCGTAAGCAATATCTTCTAATAAATATTTATTTTAGGTATCATGAAGTGGTATTCGATCGGTTATACCATCACTTGGCGTGTTGTGCTAGCGATTGCCTTCTACAGTACAACTATTCCTTATAAGCACCGCTCGATAACGCAACCCTGTAGCAAGTACTATACAGTTTTTTTATTTTTTCTTTCAATCTAATGCTTAGTGCAAACAGATGATTTCATTTCAATTACTATAAGGGCTTCTTTTAATTAATGTAAGCCCTTGCTTGCCCACTTCCTGGCTGCTCTTATCTCAATGCAAATAAAATAGACAATCTTTTGATAAGACCAAGTGCTCACTAATACCTGACAGGGTATTGTTATTTATGGTATAAGCGATTCAAACAAAGTTGAAACTGGCTTTCTCCTTTAACAATTGGAATTATTAAATCAATCATAATCAATCGACGGCAATATAAATGTAATCTACATTTTGACATTTCTTTACCAGCAGCAGTAAGGATTTAGCTGTCAAAAGCTATTATGTCTTATTCAGAATTAATGCTTTTAAATATATTTTAAGAGGAATTTGTTAGAAAGCTGAAATTAAGCTGTAATGTTTTTGATGCAGCGTTCCGTGTGATCTGCGGTATTCTTATATTGCGAATAATATAATTATAGTTGTTGGTTATTTACATTGGAAGTTAAGTACATCATGCGGAATCAATCGTATAATGAAGACATGTAATTGACCCGTCTAAAATTTTTGTTACTGGCCTATACGAATATGAACCGAAATTACTGGGCTATAATCAAGAATCGGTATAATGAGTTTTGGAGATAGCTATTTGAATATACTCGTTTCAGAAACGCTGGAATTCTTTTCATCTTTTAACTGTCACATTAATGCTATGCTTAAATCAAGTTTCGAGTCCATTGTGATACAACATTTGATTAAGTGGTATTACAGAGTATCCTTCGTCGCTATTTTTAGATAGATAATCGCTCAAATAATTATAATTTTTTATATATACTGAACAGTCATGTCTGTCTGTCTGCATATACCTGAACTGTTACTTAATTTGTTGAGGTATGGTTCGGAAATTTTTCACACGTTCTGCAATACAAGCTGCTATATTGAGTTTCCCTCGAAGTTTATAACACACAGTTTTTGAGATATCGGTTTGAAAATTCGTCAACGTTCTTTTCGAACCGCCGATATTGGACCACAATTGCATATATCTGCCATACAAACTGAATTTTGGCAGAGATTATTTTCTTTGGCAATGGTGAAATCTCCGAAGAAATGATTCCGATTGAATCACTATGGCGTATAGTTTCCATACAAACTGAACGATTGGAATCAAGTGCGTGTTTGGAAAACTTTTCTATTTGTAGAAATATTTTCACGAAATTTGGATCAGATTATCGTTGAGATCGCACCACTGTAACATAACTTGATTTCATAGCTTTTACTCTCCTTTCTTAGAAAAGAAGAATTCAATTATTTTATTTTTATTTTATTTTTTATTCATATTTATTTTTATTATTAGTTTACATTAAGCAATACAATATTAATATGGTTTGTTTTACTTTCAAACATTTTTTTTAATACAATTCCTTTTTAATAATTAAAATTTAACTATTGTTTTTTGTTTTTTTAACAATTTACATAAAAATATTATTATTGTCAATCGTTTTTCTATATTTGCTGCCAGTGCAAAATGTTTTCTATGTGTGTTTGTGCGGCAAAATCTTGCCTTCATTGTAAATTCTATAATGTATTTGAGACGTAAAGAAAAATAAAAGTTGCTATTTTATTAAATTAAATTTGTAAATATGGCGGTCAAAATTTTGGAATTTTTTAATAAAATAAAAAAAAATAAAATACGAAAAAAAAAATGATTTGCGGCTAACAGACTTTATGGTAACTGCTAACTGTTGCTTGCACTAAATTTGCCTGGCAATGGCGTTGTGAACGAACAAAAAAAATAAAAATCATAAAATTTTAAAGAAAATCCTATACATTGCGTGACAACTATTTACAATCTTCTTAAATTATTTTCTATTTGCTGTCGTTTGCTGTTAAAAGCAGCGTGTTTTTTTTTTTTCTTATTTTTCTTTCACTTTGTGTCTTTCGGTGTGTGTGTGTGTGTAATTTGTTCTTGTTTCTTTTTAATAAAATTATTTTAAAGTTGAAAGTAAAAATTTAACTTAAAGTAGTGACTATACATTTCGATTTTTTTGTATGCTTCGTTTATATATAAATCTATATAGTTTTTAATTTTTCATGCAAATTAATGCAACGCAAGCTTTTTAAGAGACACACGCTCGCAACGGCTGCGCGAATTCGCCGCAAAAGCGCACAACCAAATTTTCGCTGCAAAGGTGTGCGCGCTTGCGGTGAGCTGCGCGGTGTTGCCAGCGTGCATTTTAAGGTTAAGCGCGCATGCATATTTTTTATTTTTGTAATTAATTTTTTTTTAATCTTTAATTATTTTATTTTTTAATTTTAGATAATTTTTGTTTTATTTTTTTAGTTGTGTTTTAGTATACTTTTCATATATAGTACATAATTCGCGTTTTTTTAATTCAATTATTTTAACTTAAGGTTTGCTTCTCTCTGCTTACGCATTTCGCAATCACAACAAGCATACAAAATATTATAAATTATTAAAAACAATGAAACAAAAAAAAAAAAAAAATTTAAATAAAAAATATAATGATTATTTTTACTTTAACGCACATGACTAACACGCTTTTGTTAATTTAAATATGTTAATTAGTTATTTAATACAAAAAAGTTAATAATACGCTTTAAATATATAATCGTTTTTTCATATATAATAATAATAATAAAATTATTTACGCAAATTCTCCATTAGTCGCTTTTGGGGAGTAGGAAGAAATACTAAGTAGCAAAAATATATTTTTTTTTCATTTAAAATGTACCGTTTTCTTCTCTTAGGCAGCTATATGGTTGTTGCTTTTTAACTTACGCGTCAAAATTAAATGTAAATTCTTTAAACTTTAAGAAATTTTACATGACAAAGGCAGTGTAGGGGCAACTTCGGCTCTTCCTTTACAAACGTTGCACACGCTATACGCGCACTTTCTCCAGTTTCTTGAATTTTCACTACTTGTGTGTGTACAGTTAGTTTAATTTATTTGTTGCACAAAAATAAATAAACATTTTGAATGCTTGTTTTGTGTGTTTGAAATTTCGATTTTCGTTTTAAATTCATCATTCGTAAATTTTTATGGAAGAGTTGCCACCTAATGGTTTTCTGTTATTTTTTAAGCGTAAAGCGTCTTCTCTGCACACTGCCTTGCTGCCTGTGCAATGGAGTATTTTTTTTTTTTTTCAAATTCTCTGCTTATGCTTCGTCTCTAAGGGCAGTTTCTTGGTTACTTCTTTTAAAATTATAGGAAAGGTTTTTATGTAACTACATACATATTTATATTGTATATGTATGTAACTATTTACTTGGTTTGAGTGCAGTTTTGTTTCTATAATACAAGTGCATATATGTATGTATAAATATAGAGCTTTAGTGTCGAAGTACCCCACCACCTACACAGTTCCATTATACTATATATGTATGTAACTACTTTACTTTCGTTTTTTATAGGAAGACAAGTCGCTCACTTAATTGCTATAATATATAGGTAGTTTGTAAAGGTAAGTGGCAGCGCAATTACTTTATTGCGTGTGTGTTTGTGTATATGTGTATATGTGTTTGTGTGTAGTTCGACTAATGAAGAAGTTGTATTTGTTAGACGAGAATTCCTTCGTAGCTTCGCTTAAGCTGTATATGCTGGTGGCATTTGGCTTGTAATTTGGTGAACGAGCTTTCTTTCCTTATAAAATTCCTTCTGAAATTATGCGAAATGCCTTTGCGCTCCTCCTTTATATGTTTATCCTCTAAACGTTAGCAGTGTTATAGCTTTGGCAGTTGTTCTTAGTTACTTTGTTTTCTTTTTCTAGCTACATTTTCATAAAATTGGCTGCTACTAAGAGTACTTAAAAAAATATTTAAAAAAAAATTTCCTTCGTTTAAATTAAATCTGTACAAAATTACTCAAATAAAAATATTTTTTTTTCCTCTTTCTTGCATTTTTCGCATGCTCTCTTTTGCCATAAATTGCCAAAAGCTACTTGAAATTCTCATATTAGTTATAATACGAGCGCGTAGCCGGTCGTCTAACTAACCTCGGCTACGCTCTTTAGGAATGTCATGGTTGAGAAGTAGTATCCTATACATTTATTATATTACATTTATTTTCATGTTTCTAGCAAATTTTGACCATCCAGTTTTCGTTTGATATTTTTCTTGTTATTCAGCAATTATGCTGCCTCTTGACACTTTTGTTTTTCTTTGCACGTTTTCAAATATTTTTTATAGCAAATAGCTGCTCTCATATTATCTGTAATTAATGCTCTCAACTTTTTGCACGTGCTTCTCAAATATTTCGATTTCTATACATTGTTTCTTGACTAAATTCTAATTTACTTGCATTCAATTAATTTCTTAACTAAACTATTTACTATTTGCATATTTACTCTCGTCTATCATTGCTTATGATAGATAATCGGGTGTGGGTTCTGGCACAGCTTCGGGATTCGCGAATAGCGGATTGGGGAACTCTGGCGGATGTGGTAGCGGTGCTAATGTTTTGGGTCGTCGACGATAGGCCATTAGCCAACAGGAGACGGCTACGGCGACCGCTACCAACGCTAGCAAAGCGGTTATGACGAGCGCTATTATTAGACCCACCATGGAGACGCAAATGTCTTCGACGCGCTGTGCCGCCGGTTTGACTACAAAGAAATCAAGAAATAAACGAAAATTAGTTAATCACCTACTTTTTGTTCACTTCCATGCGCTTTCACTTACTGTTCGCATCATTGATGCCCGGTCCGCTGCGCTTTTCGAATGTCAAGATGGCGTTCGATGAGATAGTTATCTCCTCGCGCAATTGTCCTTCCATGCCGGTGTTGGTCGCCACCGCTGTTGAGTCGGTGGAATTATCGGCAATAGCACGACGTCTCCTTCGTCCGAATGCATTGTAGCCGCGACAGTTAACCGGTTGACATTTACCAAAGCAGACACGTATGTTACATTGGAAGCGTATATTATCGCTGGAGGGGAATTTGAAAGCATTGAAGTTAGCCATAAGGCTGTTGGTATCGGGATTGTATTCCCATTCGCCAAAGATTGACGCATCTGTAGCGCATCCATTCTCATCGGTGACAATGTACTCGTTCTCAATGTTATCCTCCATTGTTTTGGCAATGCAGGAACGTGCGAAGCCACCATAGATTGCTGCAGAAAATTTTAGTTTATTAGCTTTGTACTATGTAAATATAACTCACTTAGATACTCACTTGCTGGCTCGACGTCAACTTGCAGTTTCAGATTGTCACCAATCTCCGCAGAGTTGATCTCTTCACCTTCGTGTGTTATGATGCGCATTTGACAGATTGGCGGCGGGCCAGTGTTGGCAATTGTGCCCGCTGTGGTTAACATGGATACATTGAAACCTAAGGTGACATTCTTCTCACCGGTCTGGTAGACACATTTGATGTTGTAAGCTTGCGCCTTGTATGTAACCAATTTCGGATGCTTTTGTATGACTAGCACGAAGCTAGCAATATCCTTAACTGCCTGCATGCCGCAGCTGCCGAAGTGTACGCGGAAGATTTCCGTACGCGGTACACTTTCACCAGCTAAATTCACCACACGACGACATTCCTCATCCTTGCTATGGCCCTTCACGTAGAGTACGCCATTGAAGCCGGGTTCGGTAATATGTATTTCGACTTGTACACCATCAGCCAGACAGCTGACTAACATATCGGGACGTGGGAAATCTGTACGGAAGTTGGTGTGATTGCAAATAAGCTCTGGATTGCCAGTGTAGCCGGTGATGCATTGACATTGTGCACGATGATTGATGGCATTACAGAAGGCGTTTACGCCGCACACCTTTTGCAGACAAGGATCCTCACAGGTCTTTGTACGTGTGTTGCAGAAGCGATTGTCTGCACAGTCTTCGTTCGTTTCACAGCCAGGTTGATCTTCTGCTATGCATTCGCCAGCAGGGGTGAGTCGATAGCCATGATCTGTCGGGCAGATACAGCGTCCACGCTCATCGATGACCATACCGCGCTCCAAAGCGCACACACAGCGTCCGTTTTCGTCGATCTTGAAGCCTTGTTGTGGCAGGCAGGGCGCACAATATTCGTATATGTCCAAAGCAGTGCCTGGCGGGCAGACACATTGACCGTCGACATCGCGTACGAAGCCTTTCTCGATTACACACAATGAGCGTTTGTCACACTGTATGGCCGCATTGCCGGTGTATCCCTCCAAACATTCGCAGATCATTGTGCGCACTGGCACAGTATCTAAGACACGACAGTCGGCATTAACGCCACAAGGATGTGTTGCATTGCATGGATTGACGCATTCGCCACGTATACAGGCAGTTTGGCTTGGACAGTCGCCATCGTAGCGGCAAATAGGTATGTCACGTAGCGGTTCACAGCCGTTGCGACGCGCAATAGTACCTGGCGGGCAGGCACATTCCGGTTGATGGTTGTAGACCTTGCAAATTTCGTCATACGCACAAATCGCCTTTGTATCGCATGGGTTTTCACATTTGCCATTGACACACGCCTTGTCTGATGGACATTCACCGTCGGTACGGCAGCCAAGTGGTGTACAGGCGATGCGCGCATTGCCACGGAAGCCGGGTATACATTCACATACAGCGCGGTGATCAACTGCTAGACATTCCGCATTTGTGCTGCATTGCTCACCTTGGCAAACGGGCACACAAAGTTGATTGCGACAGGCGTGCGTAGACGGACAGTCCGAATTTATAGCGCATTCAATCTTGGAACATTCGAATTCTGGGTTACCCTCGTAACCTTGACGACAAGTACATACCGGTTTATGGTCCTTAATGCGGCATTCAGCGTTCAAGCCACAATTGCAGGGATCGCGACAGATGCCATTTACGCAGGACTTATCTGTGGCGCAGTCTGAATCGGCTATACAACCACCTACTTCCACAATTGTCTTTGTTGGTTTGCAGGTGCCACTGCCGCTGCTTATGTAGCCGTCGGGGCAGATGCAGATCATAGTACGTACAGGCGACGTTGGTGTCACTTCACATTGTGCCGGTCGGTTGCATGGTTCCAGAGTGAGGCAGGGATCGACACACTCATCGTTGATGCATGCCAAGCGCGCTGGACAATCTGTGTCTACTTTGCACATAGGTTGTGGTTCTGGACGGCAGTCCACATATGGATTGCCCAGGAAGCCAGCGGGACAGCGACAGACAGCCAAATGGTTTTGCGCGCGGCACTCGGCGCGTGGTGAGCATGTATTGTGGTAAATACAAGGATTGACGCACTGTTCATTTTGGCACATCTTGTCAGAGGGGCAATCATTGTTCGTTAGACAACCAATGACGCGACAACGTTCATAAGCATTACCACGATAACCACTCTTGCAGCGACACATAGCGTTGTTAGATTGCACATAGCATTCAGCGTTGATACCGCAAGGATCATTCACTAAGCAGGGATTAATACAGTTGCCGTTGATACAGGCCTTACCAGAGTCACATTCACTATCTATGCGACAGCCAATGGTGCGACAGAATGCATAGGGATTGCCGTCGTAACCGTCTTGGCAAGAGCATGTGGCGCGATGATTTTGTACTTGACAAATAGCGTTGGTGCCACAGTTACATGGGTTTCGGCACTGACGATTGATACACGCCTCTTGATCGGGACAGTCGGCATCACTACTGCAACCTGGTGGACTCTGCAGTACGATCGGTTTGCATTCACCTCGCGCATCCGGAACATATGATTCAGGGCATTCGCATACCATAGTACGTACAGGTACGCTATCTAGTACACTGCATTTTGCGGAGCTTGCACATGGTGAGAGTATAGTGCAAGGGTTCTGACATTTACTGTCGATGCAAGCCAAGCGACTTGGGCAATCGCCATCGTCGCGACAAACTGGCTCTACAGGACGACGTTCACAATAAGCGTAAGGGTTGCCGAGCGGCATAGTCTCCGGGCAGCGGCAAACGGCGCGATGCTGCAGTGCTTGACAAATGGCATTTTGTGCGCATGGGCTATCCTGACAGGGGTTCACACATTGATTTCGTACACATGCTTGATTCGTAGCGCAATCGTAGTCTGAGTGACATTCGACGCGTACACAACGTTGGAATGGATCACCTTCCAAGCCGGCCGGACAGCGACAGGTGGCGCGATGATTACGACCAAAGCATTCGGCATTGAGCGCGCACGGATCACTGATCAAACAAGGATTCACGCATTCACGATTTACGCACTGTTGATCCGATGAACATTCATCGTCCGATTGGCAGCCAATTTGTACGCAACCGAATTGTGCATTGCCAGAGTAGCCAGGTTGACAGTAGCAAACCGGGTGGTGATTACGTACAATACACTCGGCATTCGGGCCACAATTGCAGGGATTAATGCAACGTTCGTTGACACAAGATTCACTGAGAGAGCAATCCGAATTTGATTTGCAACCTATCGTAGAGACATCAGGCGCTGTGGTTAAGAGAAAAGTTAAACAAAAAGTTTCATTAGTGTTTGTGTTTAGAAGAAATCGTAAAAAATATACTTACGTGGTACACAAGCAACGCGCGCATCGCCGGTGAAACCGCTTGGACAACGACATACCGGTTCTCTATTTTGTACATGGCAATAAGCACCGCGTCCACAAGAATCTTCCGCACAAGGATTTACGCAGCGTTCATTCTTACACGTCTTATCATAGGGACAGTCATCGTTCTTTGTGCATTCAGCGTTCGGTGTTTTCGGCTGTTCGTGTACGATCAACTGGCACTCAACGCGTGGATTGCCTTCGTAGCCACGTGCACATGTGCATTCGGCATAGTGATCGCGCGAACGACATTGCGCATTTACACCGCAGCGTTCCAAGCGGCAAGCGTCGATACATACACCACGTTGGCAGACCTCGGTGTTACCGCATTCATCGTTGCTCTGGCAACCGCTGACTACTTCATGTTTGATTGGTACGCAATTACCCGAATTATCGGTGATCGTATCGCTCGGGCACTTGCAGATCATAGTACGCAAAGGTAGCGTATCCAATACGTGACAGGTCTGTTGTGGCGTGCAAACATGTGGTGTGGCGCACGGATTGGCGCAACGCTGATTAATACAAGCCAATTGAGATGGACAATCAGCATCCTGTTTACATTCGGGTTCCACTTTAGTTGGTGGCTCGCGTGGCACATCGCACCGTACGAACGGATTGCCTCTATAGCCGGGTCGGCATTCACATTGCGGCTGATGACGTCTGCCAGTGCAAATGGCATTCAGCGCGCAGGTGTCTTCATCGCAAACCGGACGACAAACACGATTCAAGCGATCGCAAGCCTCATGATCGGCACAATCTTCATTGTATTGGCAGTGACCGGTGATGCAGGAGACAAACGGATTGCCTTGTGTGCCAGGCGGACATATGCAGACTGCTTGGTGGTTTTGTGGTGCGCATTGAGCGCCAGTGCCGCAACGTACCTCGCCATAACTGCAAGGATTTACACAATTCTCATTGATACAAGCCTTATCGTAGGGACAGTCCGCGTTTATCTTGCATTCCGCTATAATTTGCGAAAAATTTAGTTCAATTTATAGTAAGGAAAATGGTGTCACTTCAGCTGTATACTTACGTTTGTAGCATTGTACTTGCGGGTCACCACCCCAGCCGGCGGGGCAAGAACATATTGGACGCGAGTTGCGTACACGACATTCCGCATTGCCAGCACACGGATTCGCCTCAGCGCAGGGATCTTGACAGCGCTGATTAATGCAGGCCGTTGTTGACGGACACTCCGCATCGTGTTTACAGCCCGCGGTGATTTCAGCTGTGGGTAGAAGTTTGGATTGTTAGTTTCGGCACAAAGCAAAGCAAAGTGTAATTTAACGTAAGACACGGTAATGTCTGAACTTACGTGGTTGGTAGCAGTTTGTGAATGGATCACCCTGTGTGCCCTGTGGACAACTGCAGACGGCGCGATGACGCTGAGCTAAGCATTCGGCTGTGCGGGCGCAAGGTGAGGCATCAATACAAGGATTTACACAGGCGCCATTGCGACAGGCTTCCGTATCTTGACATTCGCTGTTCGATTGGCAACCATGATCACGTGCGGGTTCTAATGCGAGAAAAATGGATTAGTCACTGAAGTGAATAGATATTTGGGTCGAAAACGAAATATAACGGAAAAGTATAGTTTGCGTGTGCTTGCAAAATTGCGAGGAGCTGTACAAGAGCGTTGAGAGGTAAAGTTCAACATAGACACAATAAATATATACAATATAAAATAAATATTCGCACATAAAAATATCACAAATTAATTTGTAAAATATAAAAATTAAGCTGCAATGAAAAATAGACTCAAAAAGACAATCATTTAAAGCATTTTCAAATTCAAATAAGAATTTCGTTGCCAACCTACCTTTACGACAACCCACATCCGCATCACCCACATAACCGGGTTCGCATTGACAGATCATAGTACGCAACGGCAGCGTGTCCACCACCGAGCAGATAGCATTTGCGCCACATGGTTGCGTTACCGCGCATGGATTCTTACATTCGCCATTGAAACAGGCCAACTTGCTGGTACAGTCCGCGTCTATAGTACATTGAGGTGCCACTTTAGGTTCTTCGAATACACAGCTAACCAGCGGATTGCCACTGTAGCCCGGTGGGCAGCGACATTGTGCGCGATGATTGTCGACACGACACTGCGCGCCCACACCACAATTGCAGGGATCTTCGCAACGTTCATTCTTACAGGCCAAATTGAAGGCGCATTCGTCGTCGCGTGTGCATTCCGGTCGTTCACAGCGTACTAATGGATTGCCGCGATAACCGTCGGGGCAGTGACAGCGTGCCTTGTGATTGTAGTCGGCGCGACAGATTGCGTTCGTGCCGCACTGTGTGTACGGGCAAGGATCGGTACATTGTTTGTTGATACACGCTTCAGTGGCGGGGCATTCCTCGTCTGAGCGACAGCCGATGACATGGCAATAACTGAAAGCATTGCCGGTGTAACCTATTGTGGGGATAGAATCAGTATTATCATAGTTAGTTGGAGCTCCTTGCAAAAAAATTTAAATTCAAGCAAACAGAAATTTTAATTTAAACTTCTTTTCTTTTCAGTGTCCACGTTACGTTTCGAGCTCGCAAGGTAAGAATATTATTAAGAAGTATTAATTAATGCCCATTTTGTCTTTAGGAAAGTTATTGAACTGAATAAATGCTATCTTTTTCGACTGCTTTACATATTATAAGATTCAAAGAAAGAAGTTTTTTTTTTATTATTTTCGTTCGAAACGGTGACTTTCCTAACTACCAATGTTCTCTTCAATTTCAACTTTCGCGTACTCACCTTCGTTACAGACACACAGTGGTCTGTGCAATTGCACGTGACAGCGCGCATTTGTTCCACAAATATTCGAGAGTTCGCATGGATTCTGACAAGCCTGATTGACGCACGCTTTGTCGTTCGAGCATTCAGCGTCGGTGGTACATTCCGGTCGCGGTGCTGGTATTTCCTCCATTTGTCGAAGACATTGGTTAAATGGTGAGCCATAGTAACCAGTTGGACAGGTACATACCGCCTTATGATTGATGGCATTACAGATGGCATTGACACCGCAAGCATTAATACATGGATCGCGACATTTCTGATTGATACAAGCACGATTACGTGAGCAGTCCTCATTGGTTACACATTCGGGGTACGTGCAAGTGGCAGCACCATTGATAACCTGGCATATGCCATTGCTGCGACATGGTGATGGATTGCAAGGATCTATCGGTTGTGGTGGCGCGTGACATTCAACGAACGGATTGCCAACCATTGGACTGGGGCAGCTGCATATTGGATTGTGATTGGCGGTCTGGCATTGGGCGCCATAACCGCAAACGCCGGGACATGGATCGACACATTTGGAATTGACACAAGCCTTATCCTTGGCACAGTCGGAACTGAGTGTACATTCGGGACGACAACCCTGTCCTTGTGGATTGCCAAAGAAGCCTGGTAGACATTCACAAACAGCCTGATCGCGTTGTACTTTGCATACCGTATTTATGCCGCACGGTGTTGGATAGCAGGGATCACGACGTTCCTGGGGTATGTGTTCTATTACAATCGGTGAACATTGGACGAAAGCATTGCCACTGTAGCCAGTGGGGCAAGAGCAAATTGGTATGTGATTGTGGATGGTGCAAAGGGCCTCAACACCACAAGTGCCTGGACAAGGGTCGGCGCATTTGTTGCGTATGCAAGCACGATTTGAGGAACATTCAGAATTGCCAATACATTCGGGGCGGCAACCTTCATACGGATTACCAATGTAGTCATTAATACATGAGCAAGTATAGCTATCGCCACGTCCACGGCATTCGCTGTTCGGGCCGCATGGTGATGGACGGCAGGGATCACGTGGTTCCTGTTTCGGTGGTGGTGGTAATACTGAAAAACATTAAAATAAATATAAAGGTTATAGAAGAGCTGCCGTATGTAGAAATAAAACTGTGGTCGACTTGCTAACGCCTTACTTTTTGGAGCCTCATAACATACGCGGAAGGGATCGCCGGTCATGCCAACTGGGCAATGACAATTGGGTATATGGAGTGTCACAAGACAATTGGCATTTAAACCACATGAACCGGGACATGGGTCACGACATTTGCGGTTGATGCAAGCCAAGTTGTTAGGACAATCGTCATTACTAGAGCATTCTGGGCGACAATTTGGCGGTGTACCAATAAAGTCGGCCAGACAAGAGCAACGCGGCTGTCCCTTTACGTCACTACATTGAGCATTAGGACCGCAAGGAGATGGTATACAAGGGTTCTGTATTGCAGGTGGTTCTTGTCGTATTTCTATACAAAAATAGGGGAATATTGATAAGTTTGTGTCTTGGAGGAACTATGTCAGTTGCAAGTTACCTGGTCTCGTACAAAGTGAATATGGATTACCGGTGTAACCGCGTATACATTCGCAGTGTGCGCGATGCTGCACAGCCTGACACTCGGCATTCAGACCACATTGACCTGGGCAAGGATCAACACATTTATTATTGATACACGCGTGTATTTGTGCACAATCCGAACTGCTATAACATTCGAGGCGACAGTTTGGCGGATTGCCGAAGTAACCAGTAATACAAGAGCAAATGGCATTGCCATTACGTTCAATACACTGTGAATTGGGGCCGCACGGCGATGGCTGGCATGGATTCTTCAACTCCACTTCAGGAACTGCATCACAAGCGACAAAGGCATTACCAGTCATACGTTCTGGACAGCGACACATTGGTATGTGGTTGACGACGTCACAGAGCGCGCGTTGGCCGCATGTACCTGGACATGGGTCCACACATTTATTACGCACGCAAGCGCGATCACGTGGACAATCTGCATTAAGTACACATTCTGGACGACAACCGATTATGGGATCGCCATGATATTCCGGTATGCAGGAACATTGCCCGTTATTGCAGACAGTATTTGCGCCACATGGTGAAGGGATGCATGGATCCACAGGTTCCGCTGGTTCTGTAAGGTTGGTGTAAAATAAGAATTGCGTTTTGACTACGTATTCGGATTTGTGGTGTTTACTTGGTGCTGGTGGCGCTGGTGGTAATGGACGACAGCTGGTAAACGGATCGCCGGTATAGCCAACGGGACAAGAACAGCTGGGTGTATGATATATTACATTACAAAGCGCTGAAAATCCACATGAACCGGGACATGGATCGCGACAACGTTCGTTAATACAGGCCATATTGCTGGCACATTCCGCATTAATTGTACATTCCGGACGGCAGTTGGGCGGCGCGCCAATGTAGTTCGTCAAACAGCTGCATGTAGCGGCACCATTAACTTCACGACATTGTGCGTATGGGCCACAAGGTGACGGTATGCATGGATTGACATCTGCTTGCGGCGGTTCTGGGGTACGTGGTGCTGAAGAGCATTAGAACAAGTGTAAATCAGTGAATTAAGGAAATAAGACGCGTAAATTAAGGCTATTGTGAGAAACTGGAATAGTCGTTGCTTACGTGGTATGCGCTGGCAGCTGGTGAAGGCTTCGCCGGTATAACTGGCCTTACAAGCACACAACGGACTATGGTTATGTACATGACATTCGGCGTTTAAGCCACAAGCGCCTGGACAGGGATCTTTACATTTCTGGTTGATGCACGCTTTGTCGGATGGACACTCTGAGCTGACGACACATTCTGGACGACAAGTGGGTGGAGTGCCAACGAATTCCGGTAGACACGAGCAAACGGCTTGACCATTTGATTCGCGACATTGTGCGTTGGCGCCACATGGTGATGGTTGGCAGGGACTTACTTTGACGGGTGGTTCAGCTGTTTCGAATTACACAATAAATTAGTGTCCAGTAGAGGTTAAGCGAGGGTGGGTTAAATTATACTCAAACCAATATTTTTTGCTCAACTAGAGCTGTGTTGTTTTGAAGCGAATTACGTATGTTAATTTTGCGCTTAACCTATGTTATTTCTTAAACTATGTTCAGCTATGTTAAGTGTGGCCATGATAGGCTATGGCATGCTGCGGTTCTTATACTAATGATTCTTAATATATGCTTATGATTATATTCTTTGGCTTTATTTTTGATGTTGTTATTACTGCTAAGAAGTCATGTAAGAATTGCAAAGTGGAAGCTCTATATTGCTTGCAGACAGAGATTTTAGAAAGCGGGTTATAAAACGGCTTATAGCACTTTCGAGGGTAAAGCTCTACCTAACACATTGGTTTGCCAATTTGTATTAGCGAGCATCGGCAGACATTAGACAGAATTTAGTGCATTTAGGATGGTAGTTCTGCATTGTTGTCAACTTTGGGATGATTGTTGTTAAGAGTAAAGAATACACATTAAAAATTTCTTACGTTCTGCCTGCACTATTTCACAATACGTATATGGATCGCCGCGATAGCCTGGCAGGCAAGCGCAGTTCGGTATATGATTGACGACTTGACAAGTTGCCTGCGAACCACAAGTGCCAGGACATGGATCACGGCACTTCGAGTTTCGACAAGCTTTGTCCGCTGAACAATCCGAATTCCTAACACATTCAGGACGACAAGCTTCATAAGGATTACCGAAATAGTCCGGTAAACATTGACAAACGCTAATGCCATTACGTGGTTGGCAAATTGCGTTTGGACCACAAGGGCTGGGACTGCAAGGTAGAGCCACCTCCGTTGGTGGTTCCTGTTGTTTAACGCATGTAGAGAAAGGATCGCCAGTATATCCGCTTGGACAGTAACACATTGCACTGTGCGCCAATACACGACACTCGGCTGCAACACCACACGAACCCGGACAGGGATCGGCGCATTTGCGATTGATGCACGCCCTGTCCGAGGCACATTCAGCACTTGTTACGCATTCGGGACGGCAGTTCGGTGCGGTACCAATGAAATCACGTAAGCAAGTACATTGTGCGCCATTCGCAGTGGCGGTGCATTCCGAGTTCGGTCCGCAAGGTGATGGTTGGCATGGATTTGTAGGTGTTACGTCGCTTATTGGTGCTGGTTTTGGTATAACTGTAATTGGTTTGAAGATGATGTTTAATTGAAATTTTGTGAGTGTAAAGTGCGTGCGCATAGTACTTATTGGCTGACAGGAAATGAACGGATCACCGGTGAAACGTGGTGGACAGGCACATATTGGGCTATGATTTTGAACATGACAGACGGCACGTAAACCGCAGGTACCGGCGCACGGATCTTGGCAATGCTGATTCAAACAGTACTTATCCAAAGCACATTCGGAATTGGAAACACACTCGGGACGACAAGATGGTGGGGCGCCAATATAACCTGGGAGGCAAGAGCAGATGGCTTGTTGATTAGACGCGCGACACTGTGCATTAGCACCACAAGGAGAAGGCTGACAGGGGTTTATGGGTGGTGGTGGTTCGACGACTGAAATTGGAAGAATGTGAGTTTGCATAGTCCAGTTGAAAGCGTTGATTTCTATATTACTTGGTATGCTTTCGCAATAAACAAATGCATTGCCTGTCATGCCAGCTGGACACGAACACATCGGTACGTGGTTTATAACATTGCAGAGGGCAAGCGTGCCACAAGTACCAGGGCATGGGTCTTTACATTTTTGATTGATACAAGCACGGTCACGGGCGCAATCGCTGTTTAGTACGCATTCTGGGCGACAACCACTGTATGGATCTCCATGATATTCGGGTAGACATGTACACACGCCGTCTCCACTACAAGCTGCATTCGCACCACAAGGTGATGGTACACAAGGATCCTGTTTGATAGGCTCACGTTGCACGGGTTGGGATGGCTGTGGTTGACAGCTACTGAATGGATCACCTACATAGCCAGTTGGACAGACGCAGTTCGGTACATGATTGAGTACATTACAAATTGCATTAAAACCACATGAACCGGGACATGGATCACGACACTTCTCATTTATGCAGGCACGATTCGAGGGACAATCGGAGTGTACAACGCATTCAGGGCGGCAATTCGGTGGGGTACCTATGTAGCTAGGTAGACATGAGCAAACCGCGCCACCGTTACGATTATGACATTGCGCGTATTGGCCACAAGGTGAAGGATTGCATGGATTGCCTGGTGGTGGTGGCGTTACATCTGCGATTGGTGGCGGTATTGGATAACAGCGCGTAAAAGCATCCCCGGTATAGCTAACTCTGCACGAACAAATCGGATTATGGTTGTAAACGCGACATTCTGCATTTTGCCCACAAGTACCAGGGCAAGGATCTGCGCATTTACGATTTATGCAGGCCTGTGTGAGTGGACATTCCGAATTAACGGTACACTGTGGACGGCAAGCAGGAGGTGAGCCTATAAATTCAGGCAAGCACGAACAAACAGCTTGTTGATTAACCTCGTGGCATTGTGCATTCGGACCGCACGGCGAAGGTTGACATGGGTTAACATAAATGGGCTCCACTAGTGAGAAAAAACATTTAGAATTTTTACTCCCGATGTTTAAGGAAAATTTGTATTTATGCTTACATTGTTTAACAGGTGAGCATAAGCTAAACGGATTGCCCGTATAGCCACTGAAGCAATGACAAACGGGTAGGTGATTAACAACCTGGCATTCGGCATTGCGACCGCAAGTGCCAGGACATGGATCTTGACACTTACGTTGTACGCAGGCTTTATTTGATGGACAATCACTATTTAGCACACACTCAGGTCGACAACCTTGATAAGGGTTTCCGAAATATTCAGGTAGACAGACACAAGATCCAACATTGTTATGACGACGACATTCCGCATTATCTCCACAAGGGTTCGGTACACATGGGTCTATAAAGTCGGGTACTGGTGCTGGTGGTGGCGGCAATGGCAAGCGGCAGACTGTGAAGGGATCTCCAACGTAACCCTGTTCACAAACACAATTGGGTATGTGATTCAAAGTATGACACTGTGCATTGGAACCGCATAGACCCGGGCATGGATCGCGACACTTCTGATTAATGCAAGCCTTATCGGAAACACATTCTGAATTAGATATACATTCTGGACGACAATTTGGTGGTACGCCTATAAACTCAGAGAGACAAGTACATGAAGGTGCACCATTGATGTTGCTGCATTGAGCATTGGCGCCGCACGGTGATGGACGACAGGGATCGCGAGGTTCTTCATAAATCGGAGGATCTGTAGAAAAGTGAGTTGATATGAAGGGTGTTATATTAGGGTTACGGACATTAAATCGCCGATGAGTAGAAAATACGTACTGATGATGGGTTGACAAGCTACAAATGGACTTCCGGTATACCCCGTTGGACACGAGCAAATTGGGTTATGATTAACAATGTTGCAGAGTGCATTATGGCCGCAAGCGCCTGGACACGGATCCTTGCATTTCTGATTGATGCATGCGCGGTTCATCGGACACTCGGAATTGCTGACACATTCGGGGTGACAAGCGGGTGGTGTTCCTATCATATCTGCTACACACGAACAAACTGCTATACCATTTCTATCTTGACATTGTGAGTTTGGACCGCATGGTGATGGTTGGCATGGATGCGCTGGTTCAGGTGGCCGCTCCGGAATTGGTTGGCAGAGAACAAATGCATTACCTTGCATTCCCGCTGGGCAGTGGCACATGGGTACATGTTTGTGTACTTCGCATATCGCGTTCGAAGCACAGGTGCCGGGACAAGGATCTTGACATTTCTGGTTGATACAAGCTTTATCGCGCTGGCATTCGCTGTTAAGAATACATTCAGGACGGCAACCAGTGTATGGATCGCCTTGATATTCGCCGATGCATGTGCAAATACCATCGCTGCATTGAGCGTTAATACCACACGGTGATGGTACGCAAGGATCGTCAGCAGGGGTAGCTAATTTCAAAAATAAAGATGGTTCGTTTAAAGTTTGGGTACGAAGAATTGAAAGTTAAAATTTATATTACGTGGTGGTGGTGGAGCTGGTTGCGGGTGGCAATTCGTGAATGGATCACCGATATATCCGGCCGGGCACGTACACACTGGCGTATGATTTAAAACATTGCAAACGGCATACACTCCACAAGATCCAGGGCAAGGATCGCGACACTTTTCGTTTATGCAAGCGCGATTGCTGGCACAGTCCGAGTTTATAACACATTCTGGGCGGCAATTGGGTGGTGAACCGGTATACAAAGCTAGACAAGAACATGTCGGCTGTTCGTTTACAATACGACAAACTGCATATTGACCGCAAGGTGAAGGAACACATGGATCGCGGTATGGTTCACGCGCTGGCGGTGGTGGTGGCGGTATAGGATTGCAACGGACAAATGCATCACCAGTATAACCTGGGCGACAACTACAATATGGGCTATGTGAACGTACGCGACACTCAGCATTCGAGCCACAAGTGCCAGGGCAAGGATCTTGGCATTTCTTGTTGATGCAGGCTTTATCAGCGGTACATTCAGAGTTCGATGTGCATTCGGGACGACAAGAGGGTGGACTGCCAATGAATTCGGGCAGACATGAGCATATGGCTTGTTCGTTTACCTCGCGACATTGAGAATTCGGGCCACATGGAGAGGGTATGCATGGATTAACATATTCTCTAACAGCTATTTATACATGTAAAATGAGATAATAATAATAAAGTGCAATGAGTCAAAATTGTGCTGTGATTCAAACTTTCTTTGCTCAATAAAAAAGTAGTGAGTGAACAAATATGATGCTTACGTTCTTTCAAAACATTACAGTAGCTATAAGGATCACCGGTGTAACCCGACAGACAACTGCAGGTGGGCAAATGATTAATGGCGTCACACTGCGCATTTTGTCCACAAACGCCAGGGCAGGGATCTTGACACTTTTGATTTCGACAAGCCTTATTCGAAGGGCAATCAGAATTTGCGATACACTCGGGGCGACAACCTTCATAAGGATTACCGAAATACTCTGGCAGACACTTACAAGCGCCGGCATTGTTTTGTGTGGTACAAACAGCGTTGCTGCCACATGGACTAGGTACACACGGGTTAATCTGCTCGAGTTCAACAATCGGTTCGGGATAACATTGCGTGAACGGATCACCCATATAACCGGCGATGCAGACACAAGATGGGGTATGACTAACCACATGACAAGTAGCTGATGTACCACAAACACCGGGACATGGGTCGCGGCACTTCATGTTGATACACGCTTTATTGCTGGCACATTCCGAGGAAGATAAACATTCTGGTCGGCAATTTGGTGGGGCACCAATATAATCTGGCAAGCAGCTGCATGATGGTGAACCGTTTCTGTCAGCGCATTGTGAGTTGGGACCGCATGGCGAAGGTATGCAGGGATTTACAGGTTCCTGTTGAAGTGTCGGTGGTGGTAATAGTTGGCATAGAGTATGCGCATTACCAGTGTAGCCGCTCGGGCAACTACAGAATGGCCCGTGATTAATAACCGAGCACACGGCACGTACGCCACAGCTGCCGGGGCATGGATCTCGACATTTCTGATTAACGCAAGCTAAGTTCGGTGGACAATCCGAGTTTATGGTACACTCTGGTCGGCAGTTGGGTGGTGAACCGAAATAGTCAGGTAAGCAAGCGCAAACTGCCTGTTGATTAACTTCATGACATTGGGAATTAGGACCACACGGCGATGGTTGACACACATTCGTTACAGTTGGCGGAGCTAAGGAACAAATATATGAATTTTGAATTGGGAATCTTAAGCAACGTAAATTTTGAAACCTACTTTGTAGTACAGAGCATTGAATGAAAGCGTTGCCCGACATACCATCAGGGCAACGACACATTGGTATATGATTGAACACCTCACAGATGGCTCCCACACCACATGTGCCTGGGCAAGGGTCAACGCATTTGCTTCTTATGCAAGCTTTATCACGTGGACACTCAGTATTAAGTACACATTCTGGTCGACAACCGGAATACGCGTTTCCTTGGTACTCAGGCAAGCACGAGCAAACGCCGTTATTACAGATGGCATTACTACCGCAGGGTGACGGATTACATGGGTCTTGTAAAGGCACTAAGAAAAGTAAAGTTAATATTTTACCGACAACAAAAATACTGATAACATACGTTGGGGCTCGGGTGGTTTAGGTGTACATCTAGTGAACGGATCGCCTTTATAATCAGCTGGGCAGGTACATATTGGCGTGTGATTAATGACACTACAAATCGCAGAGAAACCACACGAACCCGGGCAGGGGTCGCGACATTTTTCATTTATACATGCCAAGTGTGGTAAGCACTCGGCATTGATAGAACACTCCGGTCGGCAGTTGGGTGGTGCACCTAAGTAGTTGGGCAGACAGGAACACGAGGCCTGACCATTGACGTTACGGCATACAGCATTAGCACCACAAGGTGATGGTACGCATGGATCGCGGTATTCCTCTCTAATCACGGGCACAGGCTGTGGTGCTATAAAAATTAGGTTGTGTTTGACAAATGTGTTTTTATATCCGACAACTATCTGCTTCTTACATGGCATTGGATAGCACCTGGTAAATGCATCGCCGGTGTAATGGTTACGGCAAGTGCAAAGTGGGTTATGGTTATGCACGCGGCATTCGGCGTTAAGTCCACACACACCGGGGCACGGATCGACGCATTTTTGATTGACACATGCCTTATCGAGCGCACATTCGCTGGATATAGTACATTCAGGGCGGCAGTCTGGTGGGGTGCCGATGAATATTGGTAGACAAGAGCAGACCGCTTGTTGCTTGACTTCCTTACATTGTGAATTTGGTCCACATGGTGAAGGCTGACATGGGTTTACCACGTCTAATTTAGCTACATTTACGCAAAAATATATATTTCAGGACGTTGTTCCATAAACAATAGAATATTTTTAATGCTTACGTTCTGTCAATACCGTACAGTAGCTGTAAGGATCGCCTGTATAACCAGCTAAACAGTTGCAAGTTGGCAAATGATTGCGTACATAACATAGTGCATTCTGTCCACAAGTGCCTGGGCAGGGATCTTTACATTTGTTCTGTAGGCAAGCCTTGTTCGTTGGACAATCAGAGTTTACAACACATTCAGGGCGACAGCCCTCATATGGGTTGCCTTGATATTCAGGTAGGCATTGACAAGCGCCAGCGCCGTTACGTACAATACATTCGGTGTTGGATCCACAAGGACTTGGTTGACAAGGATTGAGTACTTCTTCCGGTACATCGCGTATGACGTCGCAATAGTTGAATGGATCTCCAGTATAACCGCTTGTACACACACACATTGGTGTATGATTAATGACATGGCAATCGGCGTTTGAGCCGCAAACACCGGGGCAGGGATCTTGGCAACGTTGATTAATGCAAGCTTGAGACAGTGGACATTCGGAATTTGTTACACATTCAGGACGGCAGTTTGGTGGTGCACCAATAAAGTTCTTGAGACACGAACATGAAGGGCTGTCGCCTACTGCGCGACACTCAGCATTCGGTCCGCACGGCGAGGGACGACAAGGATCTTTAGGTGCAACATCCAATTGAGGAACAACTGTAAAAGGATGTAGGTGATAAGAAACCTGCTTGGTTGAAATATTTAAATGTGTTTTACTTCGAACAGGACTGCATGCAACGAACGGATTGCCGGTGTAAGAATTGGTACAGCGACAAATCGGCGAGTGATTGATGACCGTGCACTCGGCATTGACACCGCATACACCAGGACAGGGATCGCGACATTTCTGCTGCAAACAGGCCCGATTAAGGGCACATTCTGCATTGCTGGTACATTCCGGACGGCAGGATGGTGGCGCTCCAATAAATTCAGGTAAACAAGAACACACAGCTTGTTGATTTATTACRCGACATTGTGAGTTTGGTCCACACGGCGACGGTTGACATGGGTTTGTCTGCACTGGCGTAGGTATAGGTTGGCACAGTGCGAATGCATTACCAGTCATACCTTCTGGACAATGACACATTGGTATGTGATTGTGCACCTCACAAATGGCGTTCGAGGCACAAGTGCCCGGACAAGGATTTGTACATTTTTGAAGTATACATGCCTTGTCCGAAGAACAGTCTGTGTTCAAAACACATTCTGGACGACAACCAATTAATGGATTACCTTGATACTCCGGTATACATTCGCACTGACCATCGCGACATACAGCATTTGGACCACAAGGCGAGGGATTGCATGGGTCCTCTGCTAGTTTTGGAGGTGGCGGTGGTGGTGCTTGGCAAGAGACAAATGGATCTCCAATCAAGCCTGACACGCACTGACAAATCGGTGTGTGATTAATAACATGACAATTTGCATTAAAACCGCATGCGCCTGGGCAAGGATCGCGACATTTTTGATTAATACAAGCTTGTGTGCTGGCACAATCCGAATTTCTGGTACATTCGGGTCGACAGTTTGGTGGACTACCTATATAGGTAGGTAGACATGAACAAGACGGATTGCCGTTGATATCGCGACATTCAGCAAACTGTCCACATGGCGAGGGCACACATGGATTTCGTACAGGTTCAGGTGGTGTTGCAGCTGGAGGCGGTGCTACAGAATGAAATGTATTATGATTTTCGGAAACGCGTTCATGCGATATAMGCTTACGTGGTATCTGGTGACAGCGTGTGAAGGCATTTCCTGTATATCCATTCAAACAAGTACAGAAAGGTGAGTGGTTACGTACGTTACATTCCGCATTTGAACCGCATGTGCCAGGGCAAGGATCCTGACATTTCTGGTTGATGCACGCCTTATCTAAGGCACATTCAGCGCTTGTAGTACACTCGGGTCGACATGCTGGTGGTGTGCCAACAAAAGTAGGCAGACATGAACAAACCGCTTGATTATTCACTTCGCGACATTGTGAATTTGGTCCGCAAGGCGATGGTTGACAAGGATTAATATATTCTTTCATAATTGCTGTAATAATTACAATGCTACTATGATTTGCTGGCTTGTGGTAAGAAATAGTTAACTCACGTTTCACTGGTAATTGACAATAAGTGTATGGATCACCTATGAAGCCATCAAGACAATTACAAGATGGTAAGTGATTTATTACGCGACAAATAGCATTTAGCGCGCAGACACCCGGACAAGGATCACGGCATTTCTGATTTTGACATGATTTATCAAGCGGACAGTCGGAGTTCGTGACACATTCTGGACGACAGCCATCATAAGGGTTGCCAAAGTACTCGGGCAAACACTGACAAGAACCGGCGTTGTTCACTTGACGACACTCCGCGTTTACACCACATGGATTTGGTTCACAAGGCGATATGATTTCATCTTGTTTCACAGGCTCCGGTGAGCAGGCCGTGAAGGGATCGCCTGTAAAACCAGGTGTACAAAGGCACATCGCTGTATGACTGATTACGCGACACTGGGCATTCTCTCCGCATAAGCCAGGACAAGGATCAACACATTTTTGATTAATGCAAGCCTTGTCTTGGCTGCATTCACTATTCGTAACACACTCCGGTCGACAGTTAGGTGGTGAGCCAATAAATTCTGGTAAGCAGGAACATGACGGAGCATCACCGACAGCGCGACATTGCGAATTCGGACCGCAAGGTGATGGGTAGCAAGGGTCCTTTGGTTCTTGCAAGCGTATCGGTGGTTCAACTAAGAAAAATCGCGGATTAAAGTTAAGGTTGAGTTCTGGCAAAGATTAAATATTTACTTATGCGTTGGCAGGCCACGAATGGATTTCCAGTATGACGCACCGGACATGTACAGATGGGCGCATGATTTGTTACTTTGCAAATAGCATTAAAACCACAAGCTCCAGGACAAGGATCGACACATTTTTGATTTTGGCAGGCCATTTGTGGACCACAATCGGAATTACGAACACATTCTGGACGACATGTAGGCGGATTACCGATGAAACCTTCGATACAAGAACATACAGCATTTTGGTTGACAACACGACAGCGGCTATTCGGACCACACGGTGATGGTTCACATGGATTGGAGACAAGTTTAGCTTTAGAGAGAGAGGTAAAGAGGAGAAAACTTAGCCGTTGAACAATTGTTTCGGTGAAAAAATAATATTTACGTGGTATTGGATCACATTGGTAGAATGCATTTCCGGACATGCCATCAGGACAACGGCACATGGGCACATGATTTAGCACTTCGCAAATAGCATTGACACCACAAGTACCCGGACATGGATCAACACATTTATTTCTAATACAAGCCTTATCGTGTGGACATTCCGAATTCAATACACACTCCGGACGACAGCCAACGAAGGGGTCGCCTTGATATTCTGGTATACAGGTGCATTGACCATCGTTACAGACAGCGTTAGGGCCACAAGGTGATGGATTACAAGGATCGTCTTTCACTGGTGGTTGAGCTGTTGGCACAATTGGTGGTGTAATGAGAGATTTCAAATTGATTTTAACTAGAACCTTACGTGGTGGTGCCAGCTGACAACTAACAAATGGATCACCTACATAATCCTTTGGACAAGAACATATAGGTATGTGATTTATCCCGCTGCATTGAGCATTGTAGGCGCAAGAACCTGGACAAGGATCAGTGCACCGATTATTAATGCATGCCAAGTTGGATGAACACTCCGAGTTGGTGACACACTCTGGACGACAATTAGGTGGTGCGCCAAAGAAATTGGGTAAACAGGAGCATGAGGCTTGACCGTTGCCATTTCTGCATTGAGAGTTGGGACCACAAGGTGAAGGCAAGCAGGGATCTCGTATTGGTTCGGCGACAGCTGTTGGTGGTGGCGCTGTGCAAGTAACAGAACGATTATAAACAAAACAATATTACAGGATGTCAAACAAACTCACGAGGTATGGGATAACAACGCGTAAACGGATCACCAGTGTAACCAAGCTGACAAGAACACAGTGGTGCGTGGTTGCGCACTTGACACTGGGATCCCATGCCACAAACGCCTGGGCATGGATCGGCACATTTTTGATTGATACAGGCTTTGTCGAAGTTACACTCAGTACTTATAGTACACTCGGGCCTACACGCCGGTGGAGTGCCTATAAATTCTGGCAGACAAGAGCACACTGCTTGACTATTCACTTCGCGACACTGACTATTGGGACCGCATGGCGATGGTTGACAAGGGTTGACATATTCTTGTACTATGGCTAAAAATTGTATGAATGTTTTCAAATTGTGTGTTTGAAATAATTTTGGAGTCAAACAAATTTTGCTTACGTTTTTCTTCAATGGCGCAATAACGATATGGATCACCTACAAAGCCGTACAAGCAAGAGCAGGTAGGTAGATGATTTCTAGTGTAACACTCAGCATTCAAACCACATGTACCGGGACAAGGATCGCGACACTTCTGATTTATACATGCCTTGTTCGACGGGCAATCGGTGTTCAGCACACATTCAGGGCGGCATCCTTCGTACGGGTTTCCGAAATACTCATCAAGACATTTACATGACCCTACACCATTTTGCTGTAAGCATTCGGCGAATGAACCGCATGGATTCGGATTGCAAGGATCGACAACTTCGGTTGGTGCACGTACAATTAAGGTACACTGTACGAATGGATCACCGGTGTAGTCGTTCTCACAGTAACACATTGCTGAATGACTTATCACACGACAGAGCGCATTATTGCCACAAAGTCCAGGACATGGGTCCACACAGCGATTATTTCGACAAACATTGTTTGACGAACATTCCGAGTTTGTAATACATTCGGGACGGCAGTTTGGTGGTTGACCGTAGAAGTTTTCCAGGCAAGAGCACGATGGCGATTCGCCCACAGCTTGACAGCGGCTGTTCGGTCCACATGGTGAAGGTTGACATGGGTTGGTTGGTGTAATATCACGTACAGGTTCAACTATGGTTTAGAAAGAGGACAAAACTCAGAAACTGAAGATTTTTTAAAATGAGTGTGGAACTCACTTATAGGACGACATTGTACAAACGGATTGCCTGTATAGCGTTCATTGCACGAGCAGAAAGGATTGTGATTGACAACAGCGCATTTTGCATACAAACCACATGTACCAGGACATGGATCTACGCAACGTTGATTTTGACAAGCACGATTTGGTGGACAATCAGAGTTGCTGGTACATTCTGGGCGACATGAGGGTGGACTACCTAGATAGTTGGGCAGACAACTACACACAGCTTGTGAGTTCACTTCGCGACATTGTGAGTTCGGACCACAAGGCGATGGTTGACAAGGATTACGGTATATATCAGCTATGATAAAAATATTAAAACGATTTAGAGCGCGTCTAAAATATATTAAAAATGTTAACATACTTTGAACCGGTATACATTGAACAAATGCATTGCCGGTCATACGTTCCGGACAACGGCACATGGGCACATGATTAAAGACTTCACATATGGCCTCTGAGCCACAAGTACCTGGACAAGGATCAACACATTTCTGTCTTATGCAAGCGCGATCACGTGGACACTCTGTATTGAGTATACATTCCGGTTTACATGCGACATAGGGGTCACCCTGATACTCAGCTATACACGAACATTGCCCATCACCTGAGCAGATAGCGTTGGGTCCACATGGGCTAGGATTGCAAGGATCAATAGGTTCTTGTTGTGGTGGTGCTAAAAATAAGTTGACATTACGAACGTTGTTGTAGTGCTTAAGATAATTTAAGCTTACGAGGTGGTGGTGCTGGATGACAAGCAATGAATGCGTCGCCTATATAACCGGGCTGGCATGCACAGTTCGGAGTGTGGTTTATGACATTGCACACCGTATTGACACCGCATGCACCCGGACATGGATCGCGACATCGTTCATTTATACATGCCTGGCTGCTGATGCAATCGGAGTTAACTGTACACTCGGGACGACAATTGGGAGGTGCGCCTATATAATTTGGTTGGCATGTACAAGATGGCACCATATTTTGGTTGCGACATGTGGCATATGGACCACATGGTGATGGCACGCAAGGATCACGGTATACATCGGCGGCTTTAGGAGGTGTTGGAGCTAAAGGAAAATTATGATCACGATATAGTATATCTCAGGCATTATTTTTACTTTGCTTACGTGGTAAGGGGTAACAACGCACGAATGGATCACCGGTTAGACCACTACGACAGGAACAAATTGGACTGTGATTGCGCACTTGACATAACGCACTTTGACCGCAAACACCAGGACAAGGGTCAACGCATTTTCGATTTATACACGCCTTATCACTTGTACATTCTGAACTGGATGTACACTCGGGTCTACAGGAAGGTGGTACGCCTATAAACTCACTTAAACATGAGCACACAGCTTGACCGTTTACTTCACGACACTGAGAATTCGGTCCACATGGACTGGGTTGGCATGGGTTTACGTACTCTTGTACAATGGCTATATGTTATTTGTGTGGTTACATGTAAATAAATTTAAAGTGAACCAGTTAAAACGTTAGTGACTACAAAAAGAACAACTAACTACATACACATATGAAGGTGGTGAAGACAATCGTAGAAAAACAGTAGCACTAGAACTAAAGTGCGGAAGCACACATCAGCTCCGCGATACTATTTTTTAAAGATTGTTCTCTCACATTTCATAGTGCAACTTTGTTACGAGTAAACTCAAATCTTTTAGCTTACGTTCTGCTGGTCTTGTACAATAACGATATGGATCCCCAGAATAACCAACTAAGCAATTACAAGTTGGTATATGGTTGACGACATTACATTCAGCATTCTGTCCACAGGTACCGGGGCAAGGATCGCGACATTTTTGATTCTGGCAGGCCTTGTTCGACGGACAGTCCGAATTGAGTACACATTCCGGTCGACAACCTTCATATGGATTGCCAAAGTATTCCGGTAAACATTGACAGGCGCCGGCACCATTACGTTCGAGGCAATTTGCATTGGCACCGCAAGGCGACGGCGAACATGGGTTCAGTACTTCAATCGGCGCGGCTACACGTATTGGCTGGCAAATTGTGAATGGATCACCTGTAAAGCTAGGCAAACAGTTGCAACGCGGTGTATGTGATACGACGTGACACTCAGCACTAGTACCGCATAGTCCTGGGCAGGGATCCTTGCATTTCTGATTAATGCATGCCTGTGTGGATGGGCATTCCGAATTTGAAACGCATTCCGGCTTGCAGTACGGTGGGGATCCAATGAAATTTGCAAGACACGTGCATGATGGTGTGTTGCTGATAGCACGACATTCTGAGTTGGGACCGCATGGCGATGGACGGCAAGGATCAGTTGGTGTGACATCCAATTGAGGTTGTTCTATGATACGTTGGCAAGCGACAAATGGATTTCCAGTGTAATGTGGTATGCACGTGCAGAAAGGATTGTGATTTACGGTACTGCATTGAGCATTCCGTCCGCAAGTACCAGGACAAGGATCGACACATTTCTGATTTATGCACGCCAAATTGGCTGGACATTCCTGATTAGCAGTACACTCCGGTCGACAAGTTGGTGGTGCGCCAATGAAGCCTGGTATGCAAGAGCAAACAGCTTGCTCATTTACTTCGCGACACTGTGAGTTAGGACCACAAGGTGAGGGCTGACAAGGGTTAACTTTGACTGGCGCTGAAAGTTGAAAATTTTTAAGTTTGGGGAATATTCGTGCAACCGATTATGAAGTTATTGATATTTACGGGGTAACGGCGAGCACTGTATAAAAGCGTTGCCAGACATTCCGTTCGGACATGAGCAGATAGGTATATGATTGATGACGCTACACAGAGCATTTGATGCACAAGTGCCGGGACAAGGATCAACACATTTATTTCGTATGCAAGCGCGATCGCGTGGACAGTCAGTATTCAGTACACATTCAGGTCGACAACCGGTATACGGATCGCCCTGGTATTCTGGTATACATGTGCACATACCATCGTTGCATTGAGCATTCGAGCCGCAGGGTGAAGGATTGCACGGATCGTCTTTGACAACAGCTGCATTAAGTATAAGAATACAAATTATAGTACCATTCTAGGTAATTTCGCACCGAATTCTTACGTTTTGGTGGTGGCTCAGGTAGACAGTAAGTGAAAGGATCTCCAGTATATCCGGTAGGGCAAACACAGCTAGGAGTATGATTGATAACATTGCAAATAGCGCCCAAACCACATGAGCCGGGACAAGGATCGAGACATTTTTCATTGATACACGCCTGACTGCTTGGACATTCAGCATTAATGGTGCACTCTGGACGACAATTAGGTGGAGCGCCAATATAAGTAGGTAAACAAGAACATGAAGGTGATTCTCCAGTGCGACGGCACTGTGAATTCGGACCACATGGTGAGGGAACACAAGGATCGACGGGTTGGCGTTGTACGGGTGCAGGCGGTGTAGCTACAATGACAAATACGTTGATAATATTTTTTCGCGCTATTCAATTACTATATGAGGTCTAAGCTTACGTGGTATAGCAAAACAACGTGAAAAGGCATCTCCTGTAAAACCTGCACGACAAGAACAGATTGGGCTATGATTATGTACGCGACAATTGGCATTCTGCCCGCATGTGCCCGGGCAAGGATCTGCGCATTTCTGATTAATACAGGCTTTGTCGAACGCACACTCAGTCGAGATGGTGCACTCGGGGCGGCAAAGCGGTGGACTGCCAATGTATTCGGGTAAACAAGAGCACACAGCTTGTTCGTTAATTTCTCGACACTGCGAGTTGGGCCCACAAGGTGATGGTTGGCACGGATTGACATATTCCTTGATAGCTGTTTTAGAGACATTTTGTAAAATGAACTACATTTGCACATATGATATTTGGCTTACGTTGTTTCTCCACTTGACAAGAACGATATGGATCGCCGCTAAAGCCAGGTACACAATTACAGGTTGGCACATGATTTAGTACTGAACAAATGGCATTCTGTCCACACGTGCCCGGACAAGGATCGCGACATTTCATATTTTGACAGGCCATATTGGAAGCACAATCGGAATTCAATATACATTCGGGTCTGCAGCCTTCGTAAGGATTTCCAAAGTATTCCGGAAGGCATTGGCATGAACCAGCGTCATTACGTTGTATGCAACGTGCGTTTGGACCGCATGGACTTGGATTGCAAGGATCGATGTGATCCAATTGTGGTATCTTGCTTTCCACACATTGTATGAATGGATCTCCTTCAAAACCGGCTGGACAATAACAGCTTGGAGTGTGTGAAAGAACGCGACACAAAGCGCTGTTGCCACATAAACCTGGGCAAGGATCTTTGCATTTTTGATTAATACACGCTAAATTGGTGTTGCATTCTGAGCTGGTTACGCATTCTGGTCGACAATTTGGAGGCGCACCAATATAGTCAGGTAAGCAAGTACACGAAGGCGTGTCGCCAACAGCACGGCATTCCGAGTATGGACCACACGGCGATGGAGAACAGGGTTGACTCGGTGGACGTGGTTCGGGTGTGTCTAAAATCGGTTGACAACTAACAAACGGATTGCCGGAATATCTGTCTGGGCAACGGCAGAACGGTATATGATTGGCAACATGACAAAGGGCATTGTTGCCGCAAACGCCGGGACACGGATCGGAACATTTTTGATTGAGACAAGCTTGATTAAGCGGACACTCGGAATTGATTGTGCATTCCGGCCTACAAAACGGTGGACTACCGACAAAGGATGCGATGCAAGAGCAGACAGCTTGCTGATTTACCTCACGGCACTGACTATTTGGACCGCAAGGTGTTGGCTGGCAAGGATTTTGTGGCACATCCAATTCTGAAAAATTATGAACATGAAAGAATATTGAAACGACGCAAACTTTTCTAATCTTACTTGGTATGGGCGAGCATTGTACGAAAGCGTTGCCTTCCATACCGTCAGGACAGCGACAAATTGGTATATGATTCATGACTTCGCAGATGGCATTAGAAGCGCACGTTCCTGGACAAGGATCAACACATTTGTGTCGTACACAAGAGCGATCTCTAGCGCAATCGGTATGTAATACACATTCTGGCCTGCAACCTATGTAAGGATCTCCATGATATTCGGGTATACATGTGCACTGACCATTGCTACATTTTGCGTTAGGGCCGCATGGTGAGGGGATGCATGGATCGTCTTGAGATACAACTTCAGCTGCATAAAAAATACAGGCTTTATTAACGGCACCTTTTAATCTAATTAATGACTTACTTCTTGGTGGTGGTAATGGATTGCAGACAGTGAAGGGATTACCAGTGTAACCTATTTGGCATGTACATATTGGTGTGTGACTAATCACATTGCACAATGCGCTAATGCCACAAGAACCTGGACATGGGTCTCGACATTTCTGATTTATACAGGCTTGATGGCTTGGACACTCTGAGTTCAGACTACATTCCGGGCGGCAAGTGGGTGGAGCACCAAGGAAATTTGGTAGGCAAGAGCACGATGGTGAGCCGTTTATATCTCGGCACTGAGAGTTTGGTCCACATGGTGATGGCACGCAAGGATCTTGTGGTTGACGTTGTGGCGGCGGTGTTGATACCGGTACTAGTGAGGAAGAATTCGATACCGTGAAAACATTTTCATTGTTGAAGGGTTAAAACGGTGTAATCTTACTTATAATTCGGAAGCAACGCACGAAAGCGTCGCCGGTGAATCCATTGTTACAAGAGCAAATGGGGCTGTGGTTTCTTACGCGACACTCTGCATTCTGTCCACAGACGCCGGGACAGGGATCTACACATTTCCGATTGATACATGCTTTTTCAGTAGCACATTCAGAGCTGGATGTACATTCAGGTCGACAAGCTGGTGGACTACCGACATACTCTGGCAAACAAGAACATACTCCTTGACCGTTTACTTCGCGGCATTTTGAGTTTGGACCACAAGGCGATGGTTGACAGGGATTAACGTACACTTTGGGAGCTATAAATATGAATTGGATTTGAAGAATCACTGTTTCGGCAATTAACTTAAAAAAAGGCTTACGTTGTTCTTGTACTACTTGGCATAGGCGATAAGGATCTCCATTGTAGCCGGGATAGCATTCACAGGAAGGTAAATGATTTATTACTTGACATACTGCATTTGTACCACAAGTGCCGGGGCAAGGATCTACGCATTTCTGATTTTGACAAGCTTTATTCGACGGACAATCTGAGTTCAGGATACATTCGGGACGACAACCTTCATATGGATTACCGAAGTACTCTGGTAAGCATTGGCAAGAACCTGCGTTGTCGCGTTCTTCACATTTAGCATTGATACCGCATGGACTGGGACTGCATGGTCTCAATACTTCGATCGGTTCTGCTCGTACTGGTTTACATTGTGAAAATGGATCTCCAGTAAAGCCTTCTTGACAGAGACACATGGGTGTGTGACTGAAGACACGACAATTGGCATTTGAGCCACACAGTCCAACACAGGGATCTTTGCATTTTTGATTTATACATGCTTGTGTGGATGGGCATTCTGAATTTGAAACACATTCAGGGCGACAATTTGGTGGTGATCCCATAAAATCTGGCAAACATGAACATGACGGGGAGTCACCTGAAACGCGACATTCCGAATTAGGTCCACAAGGCGAGGGCACACAAGGATTGGCGGGTGTAGCATCACGTATTGGAGCAACTATTTTTTAAAAAGCTGCAGGTTAGGAAAATACTTATGTTTGAGAATGAGCTCAGCTTACTTATTTCCTGGCAACGCACAAATGGATTTCCTGTCATTTGAGCGCGACAAGTACAGAATGGATTATGGTTTACAACGTTGCAAACTGCATTAAAGCCACAGGTTCCAGGACAAGGATCGCGACACTTAGAGTTCTGACATGCCTGATCCGGCGGACAATCAGAGTTCGTTGTACATTCCGGTCTACACTGTGGTGGACTACCAATGAAGTCTGTTAAGCAGGAGCACACGCCTACATTTTGTAGTTCGCGGCATTGACTGTTAGGGCCACACGGTGATGGTTGACAAGGATTTGTCGGAATTGGTTCTATAGGGCGAATATAACAGTTGAGAAAACGTTCGGGGAAAGAGATAGATAAATCAAATTTACTTTCAATTACGCGGCACTCAAAGAAGGCGTTGCCCAACATGTTGTCCGGACAGTGACACATGGGCACGTGGTTATTGACAATACAAATAGCGTTGGTTCCGCAAGTTCCGGGACAAGGGTCGATGCATTTATTGCGCACGCAAGCGCGATCACGAGCACAATCTGAATTAAGTACACACTCCGGACGACAGCCTATGTAAGGATCACCTTGATATTCAGGAATACAAGTGCATTGTCCATTGTTACATTGAGCATTGGGTCCACATGGTGATGGGAAACATGGGTCGTCACGTACTGGTGGTTGAGTTGCTGTTGTGGAATCATATATGTATTTGTATAAGTCACTATTGTTTTCTCAGCATAATTATATTTCTATGAAGTCTTACGTTCTGGTGGTTTGGGGTTGCAGTTGATAAATGGATTTCCAACATAGCCGTCTATGCACAGACATGTCGGCGTATGATTGATTACACGACAAACTGTATTTAGACCACAAGCACCTGGGCAGGGATCGCGACATTTCTGATTGATGCAAGCCTGTTGACTTGGACATTCTGAGTTGATGGTGCATTCTGGACGACAGTTGGGTGGCTGACCAATAAAGGTAGCTAAACAAGAACATGATGGTACCCCGTTTACATTGCGACATTCTGCATTAGGACCACAGGGCGATGGAAGACAAGGGTCACGAATCTCTTCGCGCTCAATTTCGATTGGTGGCGCTAAAATAAATATACACATACGCTCATTGTAAATAAGTTCGGGTTGTGACAAGTCGAATAGCTCACGTGGTATAGGATAACATCTGGTGAATGCATCGCCGGTAAATCCATTATTGCAAGTACAAATTGGACTATGGTTCCTAACGCGACATTGAGCATTGCTGCCACAGGGGTCAGCAGCGCATGGATCTACGCACTTCTGATTGTTGCAAGCCCTATCTGTGGCGCACTCTGACGAAATTGTGCACTCGGGACGACAAGCGGGTGGTGTACCAATAAATTCTGGTAGACAAGAGCACACAGCCACATCATTTGATTCGCGACATTGAGAGTTTGGTCCGCATGGTGATGGTTGACATGGATTTACATATTCCGTACGCAAAGCTATATTACCACAAAGGCAAATCAAGTAGTTAGAATTGTTGCATAACAAATACTTATTTAAAAGACGAAAGATTCTTACGTTCAATTGGTCGAGTGCAAATGCGATATGGGTCACCCGTGTAGCCCGTAATGCATGTACAAGAAGGCAAATGATTGACAACTTGGCAATCGGCATTCTGACCACAAGTGCCCGGACAAGGATCCTGGCACTTCTGCTGTTGGCATGCCTTATTCGATGGGCAGTCGGAATTCATTACGCATTCGGGTCGACAACCCTCGTAGGGGTTACCGAAATATTCAGGCAAACAAGCGCATGAACCAGCGCCATTACGTTCACGACAAATTGCATTCGGGCCGCATGGACTCGGACTGCAGGGTGTGCGTACCTCGACCACGTCTCGTTCGGGTGGTAGATTGCATTGTACAAACGGATCGCCAGTATAGCCCACCACACAAGTACATTGTACTGCATGGCTAACCACACGGCATTCCGCATTGACGCCACAACGTCCCGGACATGGATCAACACATTTCTGATTTATACAAGCCAAGCTGCTGGCACAATCAGAGCTCGTGACACATTCTGGACGACAATTGGGTGGACGACCTATATAGGATTCAAGACATGAGCACGATGGCGCTTCGCCAATAGGGCGACACTGCGCATATGGTCCGCATGGTGATGGACGACAAGGATCTGTTGGCACAACGTCGCGTGGAGGTTCAACTATTCAGAAATAAATAAGGAAATTGTAACTTCTCGGAACATGATGTTTTTACGATGAATTTCTTACTTATTGGTTGACAGCGTATGAACGGATTACCGCTGAAACGAAGTGGACACGTGCAGAATGGGCTGTGATTGACAACAGTACATTTGGCACCGATACCGCAAGTACCAGGGCATGGATCACCACATTTTTGATTAAGGCAAGCCTGGGTAGGTTCACAATCGGAATTCGATACACACTCGGGACGACAAGTTGGTGGACTACCTATGAAATTTGGCAGACAAGTACAAACGGCTTGTTGATTGACCTCACGACATTGTGAGTTTGGTCCACATGGCGATGGATGGCAAGGGTTTGTATTTACGATTTCTAGCAATAAACAATTACAATTAATATCGCGAATAAATGAAACACTCCTGTATGAGAGCTTACTTGGCGCCGGACTACAACGAATGAATGCACTACCGACAGTACCATCGGGGCATCTGCACATAGGTATGTGGTTTATAACATCACAAATGGCGTTTTCGCCACAAGTACCTGGACACGGATTAGCGCATTTGCTGCGCAAGCATGCCTTATCACGTGGACAATCTGTATTCAAGACACATTCCGGACGACAGCCGGTGTACGGATCACCATGATATTCTGGCAGACAAGTACAAATGCCATTGTTGCATTGAGCATTTGCGCCACACGGCGACGGATGACATGGATCGACAGGTTCATCTAAGAAAATAGACAGTAGTTTGTAAGACGAATGTTTTCTGAACTGCGCTGCAAAATCGTGCTTACTGATAATAGGTTCTGGTGGTAAGGGACGGCAGTTGCTGAATGGATCGCCCGTATAACCTTTGGGACATGTGCAAATCGGTGTGTGATTGACGACACTACATTCTGCGGAAAAGCCGCAAGAGCCGGGACAAGGATCGATACATTTTTCACGTATGCAAGCTCTATTCGAAGGACACTCAGCGCTGATGGTACACTCCGGATGACAGTTTGGTGGCGCGCCAATATAAGTCTGTAGACAGGAACAGGATGGTACACCGTTGATGTTGCGACACTCACTATACGGACCGCAGGGCGAGGGTACACAAGGATCACGCTCGACGTGTGAAATAGCTGGTGGGGCAGCTATTGCAAGGAAAACAAAAATCAGTGGGACTGTGCTAACGGCTATAAGTTAAATTAACGCTTACGTGGTATGGGATAACAACGCGTGAAAGCATCACCGGTAAAACCGTTGCGGCACTGACACAACGGACTATGATTGCGCACGCGGCATTCTGCATTCGTGCCACAAGTGCCGGGACAAGGATCCTGACAACGTTGATTAATGCATGCCTTGTCATAGGCACATTCAGTACTAAGCACACATTCCGGACGACAATTTGGTGGTATGCCGATATAACGGTCCAGACATGAGCACACCGCCTGACCATTAAGTTCGCGACACTGTGAGTTCGGACCGCAAGGTGAGGGTTGACAAGGATTTGTAGGTGGCTCTTGACGTATCGCTATTTAACGGTAGTTTTAATTGAAACAAGGAAAACCCAAGAAAAGAAAAAAAAATAAATCAGTAAATTGTATTTTGGGTACGCAGCTTGTTGCTTACGTGCTGGCGGCTCCACATGACAATAACGATACGGATCGCCCGTATAACCGATGCGACACATACATGTCGGCACATGATTCGTGACACTGCATTCAGCGTTGGTGCCACATGTGCCCGGGCATGGATCGCGACATTTTTGCTGCGTGCACGCTTGCTGCGATGGACAATCCGAATTGCGTACACATTCAGGACGACACGATTGATACGGATCGCCAAAGTAGTCGGGTAAACATTGGCACGAGCCAATGCCGTTACGATCGCGACAAATTGCATTCGAACCGCACGGATTCGGCTCGCACGGTGTAACCTGTTCGTGTACGATACGCTCTGTGTTGGAGAAAAAGAGAGTCGAAAAAGTTGTATTAGCAAGGTTTGACATGTGTGCTTTGTAAAATATGTCATTAGTAAAGTCAACACACCTTTTGCGTGGGAGTTGAGCAGCATTTTACGCTGTTGCCGATTTTTACTTTCTTTTTTTATTCCATTTCCACTGCCAAATTTTGTGTTTTTGTTTTATTAGTTTTTTTTTTTTAACTTTTGCTTGCGTTCAACGACAGCGGTGAGATTAGAGCACGTTAGATAAATTTGCATATTGGCCAGCACATACATACACTACTATGACAGCAACAAATTGCATGTGCTGGGCGTTAATACTGTTACACTGTTACGGTTACACTAACGGTGATTACGTTTAACGATTAACTTAGTTGCTATAGTTAAAAATTACGATTGTTAGACAACGTTTGGCGGTGCGCTCACACATACAAACAAACAGTTGCATGTGCGTTTAACGGTTAAACTTAACAAAATAACGGTAATGCTTGTGTGCGGTTGCAGCACTGCGGCTGCGTGCAGTTTGTTTGGTAGTGAAACTTGTTTTTTTTTTTGGTTTTTGTTAAATTATTTTCTTTTGGTTATTTTTTTTTTGCTTTTTGTTAATTTTTTTGCGTTTGGTTAAATTATTACTATTATTTGTGTTTGCTTTTGATTAAAAATGCGTACGTGTGTGAGTGCGTATGAATGTGCGCGTGTACTTTAGCGGCGTGTAATGCAAATTTCGAGTTCGAAATTCGCTTGTTTACTTCATAAATATATTTTTAATATTTTTTTTTTTTGCAATAAAACGCATTTGGCTTTAGTTTCCAATTTAGGATATATTTTTTATTAAAAATTCGCTTTGCAAATAATTTTGAATGCATATTAGATAAAGCTTGACATACTTATACTAGCTTATACAGTTAGACTGGTTATAAAAAGGGTGTTAGAAATGCAGTTATCCAGCGTTGAGTAAAAGCGACGTTGGGTAGACAACAACAAAAATTTTTGGGGCCGTTGAGTTTTTTGCAACAACAAAATTAGGTTAGCTTGGGTTAGGTTGGCAGGCAAGACAACAAAAAAAGAAATAATAGGGCACAACAACAATGTTGTACAAACAATGCAGATTTCGACGGTGTTGAGAGACTTAGTAGGCGTGGGTATGCTATTTCTTATAATATACATACATAAGTGTTCAGGTGTGTGTGTGGGTATTAGGGTCAGCCAATTTTGTATAGCTTACGTTTTAGTTTGGGGTTATAATAAGCACTTTTCTTAGTTTGCGGCAAAATTTTGTGTTTCAGTTTGTTTTGGTTTTAACATTTTGGCGGCTTTGCAATTCAAGGGCGACTACTTAGCAGTTTTGTTTTCTTGTTTATTTCTCGTGTTTTTAAAAAGCATTTCATTAATTTGTTTCATGCTTCTAGCAACAAAATCCATATATAATTGCAATAACAAAGCATATAAACAATTCCAATGGGCTTAAAAACTAAATAAGGCGGGGTTAAGGCATGTAATGGTAAGCAGTTGGCAAATTATATGAGGCAAGGCGTGATTCTCCTTTTTATCGTTTTTGTTTGAGGCGAGTAAGGCGTTTAGCAAGTTTTCACCGTGTATAAATAAGCAATAATATTAAAGGCATTTTTACTTCATTTATAAAAGCATTTTTAAATCATATATATGTATATATGTATATATATTTAATATTTGTAAAAACAATGTCTTTTACAGCTGTCACACACTTTCAAAGACGAAACAAATTCGGACAGTTCGTACGAGATTTGCGTCTGTTGAAATCTGCATTTTGCCGCTGCGTAGCTGATGCGTGTGGTGAGTAGTAACACGTGACACATACATACATATAAATATTTGCATGAATTGATATTTTGCTTGCATTGCAATGCAACGTGTTTGACAGTGTAAAAAGCATGATTTTTATTTGTTGGTGTAAAAATGTGGTACAAATCAGAACAGTAGTTGTGCGCGCGCGTTTCTTGAACATTAAACATTTGTGGTGCTCAAACAACAAATTAACTATGAAATAAATATTTATATGAAAAACATATATTTTGCTGTGCGTAACATGAATACATACAAACAGACACAAATGTGTGTAGAACAATTGCTTGCAAATAATTAAATTTATTATT